TATTAAAAAGCAAAGCTGTCATCTTGAAGACTAAGGTCACCTGACCCAAGCCATGGTGTTTTAATTGCCTCATACGAATGCAAAAGCTGGCCAATGAATACAGAAAACTGAAGAAGAATTGACACCTTTGAATTATGGCGTTGGTAAAGAATATTGAATATACATACCATGCACTGCCAAAAGAACAAACGAATCTGACTTGGGATAAGTACAGCCAGAATGCTCCTTAGAAGCAAAAATGGCGAAACTTTGTCTCACATACTTTGGACGTGTTATCAGGAGGGACAGTCCCTGGAGAAGGACATCATGCGTGGTAACGTAGACGGTCAGCGAAAAAGAGGAAGACCTTCAATGGGATGGATTGACACAGTGGTTGCAACAGTGGGCTCAAGCATAGCAACGACTGTGAGGATGGCGCAGGACCAGGCAGTGTTTCGTTCTGTTGTACGCAGGGTCGCTATGAGTCAGAACCAGCTTGATGACACCTAACAGCAAATACCATAAAACAGTTTGGAGCACTGGTGGCGCAGTGCTTAAGAGCTCAGCTACTACCACAAGGTCGGCAGATCGAGTCCACCAGCTGCTCCTTGGAAACCCTATGGGGCAGTTCTACTCTGTCCTATAGGGTCACTGTGAGTCAGAATCGACTCGGTGGCAACTTTTTTTTTTTTTAAACAGAGCACTTTGCAGATAGCTGCAAAGAGCTTTCATTGTCTCTTGGTTTATTAAGCACATATAATACATTTATTTTCAAGCTTGGGTATGGAAAATCTTCAAAAATAAATCAGATTCCTTTCTCCATATATTTGTACAGTCAGTTGGCTGGCCATAAAATTATAGTATAGGAACACTGAATCAGAAGTCTAGATTCACGTCCTTGATCCTCTCCTTAAACACTGTCGGACTTTGCGTAATTTATCTTTCTGAGTATCAGTCTCTTCCCCTCCCACCCTGAGCTGCTGAAAAGATATTTAAGGCAGATATATTTTTGTTTATTGTTTGTTTGTGACTAAATCCCTAATACAGATTTCCTTGATATTCCAGTGTTTCATGCCAAAATTAAAGGCCAGAAAATTCCACTTAATGAAAATCTTCGTTTTTCTTTTTATCAAATGATGTCCTTACTTTTTAACAAAAGAAGATCCTCATTTTAATTTAATGAAGGTTTTCGTTTTTCTTCCTTTAAAATAAGTACCTGATGAATTAGTGCATTTGCAATGAGTTTGAAATTTAATTTTAGAAGCGAGGCTTTGGAAAACAGAAATCATAAATGTACTTTCATGTGATTCTCTTCCCATTAGAGTCAAGGCGCTTAAAAACAATTTCTTATCAACTCTCCGTGGATATTCCAGAAAAGAAGCTATCTGAAAAGAGTATGTTTGATTTTCAAGCAGAAACCATTATCTGTTGTGATTCTAGGATAGCGTGTGGAAAGGTAATTAGCTTGTAATTTTTCTAACTTGGCCTTTCAATTTCTACTAGACTTTATAACAGTGTTGTTTATAAATGGTTTATGGAGGACCATTTTGTTTAAAAGGAGCCCTGGTGACTCAGTGGTTAAGCTCTTGGCTGCTAACCAAAAGTCAGCGGTTTGAACCCAGCGCAGCTGTTCCACAGGAGAAAGATGTGGCAGTCTGCTTCCGGAAAGATTACAGCCTAGGAAGCCCTATGGGCAGTTCTCCTCTGTCCTGTAGGGTCACTATGAGTAGAAATTAACTCGACAGCAATGAGTTTTGGGGACTTTGCTTAAAACTTTTTTACTTTAAAATGTGATAATTGCACATTAAGGAACATTTGGATCACGGATAAAACTACCAAGAAGGGGAGAAAATCACTAAAAGTCCCTAAAAGTCCCAACCACTCCCCCAAAAAACACTATTAATATTTTAACATGTTTACACCTGTACTGCTCAATATGGTAACAACTACCACATGTGGCTCTTTAAATGAAAATTAATAGTAAATAAAATTTAAAGTTCAGTTCCTCAGTAACACGAGTCACATTTCAAATGCTAAATAGCTACATGGGACTAGAGGCTATCATATTGGACCGTGCAGATAGAGAACATTTTCATTGTTGCAGAAAGTGCTATGAGACAGCACTGTTCTAGACTTTATTCTATGCATAGTTTTTGTCAACATACTTGTAATTGTATCATATATGATCTTCTTTTTTATTTAGTTGTAACAAAATATTTTCCATGATATCACAGTTTACATTAACGAACGTTTTAATAGCTATGTTCCACCACCCGTCTGTCTGTCTATCATACTGTGGTGGGTTGCATGTTGCTATGATACTGGAAGCCATGCCACCAGTATTTCAAATATGGGTAGGGTCACCTGTGGTGGATAGGTTTCAACAGACCTCTCCAGACTAAGACAGACTAGGGAAAAAGGGCTGGTGATCTCCTTCCAAAAATTAGCCAAAGATTAAAAACCCAAAAGATGAGAGTTAAAAAAGCACATTAGATCCAACTAGAGAGCAAACTAGTGACCTGGATGATAGATCTAAAAGTATTAAAATGCATCATAGGCACTTCACACCCACTAGGATGGCTATTATTTGAAAAACAGAAAATAACAAGTGTTGGTGAAGATGTGGAGAAACTGGAACGCTCGTGCGTTGCTGGTGGGAATGTAAAACAATGCAATTACTGTAGAAAACAGTTTGGGCATTCCTCAACAAACACAGAATTGTCATATGACTTGGATATATGCCACTCCTAGTTATATACCCAGAGCCCTAGTGGTGCAGTGGTTTAGAGCTCCTAACCAAAAGGTCGGCCATTTGAATTCACCAGCCGCTTCTTGGAAACCCTATAGGGCAGTTCTGCTCTGTCCTATAGGGTCGCTATGAGTCGGAACCAATTCAACGGCACATAACAAAAACAACAGTTATATCCAAAGGAATTGAAATCGAACCCAGTGTACACTGCAGCATGATTCACAGTAGCCTAAGGGTAGAAACAAGCCAAGTACTCCTCCACAGATGAATGGATAAGCAAAGTGTGGTAAATACATACAATGGATTATTATTAATTCATGAAGAGAAATGAAGTTCTTGATCTATGGGTGAAACTTGAAAACATTATGCTAGGGTGGTAAGTCAGTAGGGTAGTTTTTAGACTTGCTGAATTAAAGTCGCCTGCTGAAATCTCCAAGGTGGTCAGGAAAATAACAGAAGCAGAGCTTATAACTTCCAAAGCAGTAGGAGTGAAAAAAGAAATGATTTCAATACCCCCAGAAAGACAAGAAATTATATTTTTAAAACATATATTAATAATATGTGATGAATTAAACATAAATATGAATTCGTTTCCCTATTGAGTATTACATACAAAATAGTTAAACTTGAAGATAAATGAGGAAGAACTCCCTGTGTCTTTCTTCACCTTCCTACCCTTGTCAGTGTTTTGATCAAATGAGCTTCAAGAGCAGCCTTGAAGAGACACCACTTGCTGCAGCTTATCCTGAAGTCTTGTTTTGGTTTTTTTAAGTCAGATTTATTGAAGTATAATTTACATGCAGTAAAATTCACCCTTTTAGGTGTATAGTTCTATGAGTTTTACCAGATGTAAACAGTTGTGTGACCACCATTAAAATCAGGATATAGGATGTTTCCATTGTGCTGGGGTTGGTTTTTATCTCTTTTGTTTTGTTTAGTAATATGTGTATAAGGTTAAAAAAAAAAAAAAAACTTCAAACGGAATATAATGTCATATTTCACAGAAATGTTGTATCAAGTTATCCTGCAGGGGTCGAGGTTGGTTTTTCATGATTCCTAAGGATTGCTCCCTGACTCTGAAGCGTGGCCAAATTTTAAATTAAGACATGGTTTGTATCACTGTCTAGCAACCAAATGATGTCCATTGCTGTCATATTTAATATTTTGTGTCTGAAGCCATTAACAAGTAAGTGTCCTTCTGCTTCCTGTGGTGTGTAGACTCTCATGGAGGACGAACTCTTAGAGAAGAACTACAAACACGGGAACAAGTTTCTGACTTCATTTCCAGATGGGACAACACAAATATTGTATCCTTGCTTTCAGCAGGTTATTTTTATTAGCTTTATTTCTTCAAAAAAAGAAGGGTAAAGAAAGAATACAGAAAAATATAAAGAAAAAAGAAAAAAAACCACTACCCCAAAATCCCACTACCCAGAGAAAAATCTGTTCACATCTTTTTATGTCTATCTTCCCTTACTTTTTTCTATGTCTGCGAGCCTATATGGGAAACCCTGGCGGCGCAGTGGTTAAGAGCTACGGCTCCTGACCAAAAAGTCGGCAGTTGGAATCCACCAGGTGCTTCTTGGAAACCCTGTGGGGCAGTTCTGCTGTGTCCCATAGGGTAGCTGGGAGTCAGAACTGACTTGATGGCAGCAGGTTTTTTGTGAGCCTATACAGAGATAGGGCTTTGAAAAGCAGTTCTTCAACTATTTATGCATATTTTGCCCTCTTCACATAATAATATTATGCAATAAAGATGTTATAAGTATATAATATGCAGTAAATACAGAGAGATACACCACTGTTTTTATAACCACATAGTATTTCATTAGTTAACCTGTCGCCTATTGCTGAACACAGGTGGTTTCATTTTCTTTGTTTTTGCTCTTAGACACAAGAGCTACATGAACAGCTTTGAGCATACTTTGCCGCATACTTATCACTTGTTTCCTCGAATTAAATACCTCGAGGTAGACATTCTGGGTAAGAAATTATGGATATTTTAAAGTTTTGATAAGATTTCTGCCCCCCAGAAAATTTGTGCCAGTTTACACATCCATGAGCAACATGGTGGAGCCCTAGTGGCCCAGTGGCCAAGAGATCGATCAGCAGTTCGCATCCACCAGCTGCTCCTTGGAAACCTTATGGGGCTGTTCTCCTCAGTCCTGTAGGGTCGCTATGAGTCAGAATCTACTAGACGGCAACAGGTTTACGGGAGCAACATGGTATTTCAGCTGATTTTTAATACAAAAATTTGACGTGCATTTTATGGAACACTAAGGTATCGATCCTTTGAACTTCTGTCTGACGTACAGGCCAGGAGGGATCTCGAGATAAGGGCCTTTCAACGGATCGAGGAAGGTGAAAACGTTCATCTGAAATGAGGAGGGCTTTTTGTTGGACCGAGGGCCTCTCTTTGTAGAAGAAAATAATTTTTATTCATAATGTCCTCAATGTTTAGTTAAGCTCAAATAATAAACCAAAAAAAAAAAAAAAAGACTTCCGTGGCATTGGAAATGGAATGACATTTTAGTTCCCTAGAGCCTATGAGAAAGCATGTAGGTTATGTTTTAATTATATCAGTAAAGTTTAAATAACTTACCCAACTTTTATTATTAGTTATTTTTTCATCCCTGGCTTTAATTTTTCTTAACTTTCTTGAAGGCTGTGCCAGATTTTCAAAATGATTCAGAATCCGTCTGTGTTTACATCATCTCTGGACTTCTGACCAGCTTAGCTATCGACTGAGTGTTAACCGTTACTGAATTAGCTTCAGTATTTTTTTTTTTTGACGCTATTGCAAATGGAATTTTCTTAATTTCATTTTCAGAATGTTCATTGCCAGTGTATATAAATACAGCTTATTTTATATATTGATCTTATATCTTGCAACTATCCTACAACTGAAGGAGCCCTGATGTGGCAGTGGTTAAAGCACTTGGCTGCTCACCAAAAGGGCTGCAGTGAGCTCCATGGGAGAAACACATGGCAGTCTGCTTCTGTAAAGATTTACAGCCTTGGCAACGCTATGGGGTAGTTCTACTCTGTCGTATAGGGTTGCTATGAGTCGGAATCGACTCAACGACAGTGAGTTTGATTTTCAGTTGGTATCCTGCAACTTTGCTGAATTATATTATTCTAAGATATTGTCTTGTGGATTCCTTAGAATTTTCTATATACACAGGAGCATGTCATCTGCAAATAGATTTTTACTTCTTCCAGTATGGATGCCTTTAATTTTTTTCCTTGCTAACACTGCCCTGACTAGGACTTCCAGTGCGATGATGAATAGAAGTCGTGAGAGTGGACCCCTTTATGTAGTTCCTGACTTTAGGGGGAAAGCATCCAGTCTCCCACTATTAAATATGATGTCAGCTGTGGGTTTTTCATAGATGCTGTTTGTCAGGTGGAAGAAGTTCCCTTCTATTTCTACTTTGTTAAGTGTTTTTATCATGAAAAGGTGGTGGATTTTGTCAAATGCCTTTTCTGCATCTGTTGAAATGATCCTGTGATTTTTGTCCTTCATCCTGTCGGTATGGTATATCACATTGATTCATATTCAGACGTTAAACGGAGCTTGCAGGTTTAACTTGGTCATGGTGTAGAAACCTTTTTATATATTGCTAGATTCAGTTTGCTAGTATTTTGTTGAGGATTTTTGTGTCTCATAAATACATTTCGATTCACGTAAAGGCATTTAAAATCTTTTTGTAATAATAATATCTCCCATTTTCAGAATGCTTTATAGTTTCAGTGGGCTTTCTCATAAATTGAATTTATTCCCAAATAGTCAAGGCCCATTAGAACAACTCAAATGACCTTATCCGATCTCAGCTACCCATCTGGAAACCTAGCCATCATCCGAGTGCCCAACAAGATAAATGGCTTCACCTGTATAATCCAAGAAGACATGCCCGCTAACCCTGCGATCCTGGCGCTGCTGGATTCCTCTGGCAGAAGTTCCTGCTATCACCCCAATGGAAATGTCTGGTAGGCTTCTGGGTTCCTGCTGCTGCCATTTTGTTTTGTGGAATTTTATTTTTCCTTTTAAATGGTAAAAATGGCTTTAAGGAGATTTTAGTTAATAGTCTTTAGATAGTAATGCTAAACTCAAGGAAATTTTTTATTTATACCATCCCAGTCAACTATACAAAACAAAGCTAATCATATTCTTTCTATAAATATATGAACTACACAAGTGTGATATAGGAAAAAAGAAACCTCTAAATAAATTATATTGTCATCCTATGGATTTGGGATATGAACCAATACCAAACCAAAACCAAACCCGTTACCATCAAGTCGATTCTGACTCAGTGACCCTATAGGACAGAGTAGATCTGCCCCATGTGATTTCCAGGGAGCAGCTGGTGGATCTGAACTGCTGACCTTCTGGTTAGCAGCCGAGCTCTTAACCACTGTGCAACCGGGGCTCCAACCCATGCAGTTTCTCATTATTACAGCCTGTGCCCTAATAATGTTATACTGCCTTATCTATAGGAATAATTTGCCAATGGACAGCTGTTACAGCATATTGTTTTTTATTATTTAAGATATATTCCTAACTAGTAAGATTCCTGTAGCCAAAACCAACAACAACATACAAACAAAATCTATAAAATAATTAAGATCCTGATCCCATCTGATCTGCTAAATACATACTCTATGACTTCATATTATTTTGTTTAGCCTGACAAAATGAAGTTTGAGTCCTAACTTCACACATGATTGAAAGTTGTCAAGCTCTTCAGAAAGAGATGCTCTCTCCCTTTAAGACATTTATGGGTATAACAATCTCATCTTGAGAAACTCTGTCAATAGTTGACAAACTGGACAAACTTTGGACCCTGCCAGACTTGACAGAGTTGGGACTCAGTGAGCCATTTGTGTTTTTAGTCCAAAGCAGTAGGCTTCTTAGTCAATCCATCACCACCAGGTATTTTGGAAAATTTCTATTCAATCTTGAGGGCTCAGTAGCAATTCTAGATTATATTTGCTCACACAGGGTCACGTGTGGTCGCCATGAGTCAGAATCGACTCTAGGGCAGCTAACAACAACATTGTATTTGGTGGAGCAGTATACTGTCACTAGATATTGATTGGTTTCTAGGACATTTCCCTCCCTTATCAAGTCCCCTACCCACCAGCCAATTGAACTCCTAGGCACTCTGACATGACCTCCTTGACACTCTTATAGCACCTTCTATGTACTTTTCATATAGCAAGTCCATCTTCACTGTTGGACTAAGTTCTTGAGGGCACCTCCTGAATCTTCACCACTACATTGCAGTGTACATAGTATAGACTCACAGAATGTTTATTACATACAGGTAGTCCCCAACTTACGTCGTATCTGAGTTACGACGAACTGCACTTAGAACCATCCATTTCTGGTTTTTTTTTTTTTTGGACATCTTATCATTAGTAATATGTACTATATACAATATTGCAGCATGTAATTTGCTGATGGTATCATTCTCATGCCAACTTCCAAAGACAAATAAATATTAGATTTATAAAAATACTGATAATAATAGGAAATTATACTGAAACCTTAAAAAAAAATGAGGTATTCGACTTACTTCAGAACCTATTTTCGACAGTCGTTGGAATGTAACCCCATCATAAGTCAGGCACCACCCGTAAACAAATGACTGACTTATCTAGATAATTTTAGCTTAATATTATTTGCACCTACATTTCAGGATAAAACTAAATCTCCCCCACCCCAGATATAATAAGGTAATCACCTCAATTTCTCATTTGTGCTTTTGCTACTAGATTACTGCCATGAATCAATGTAGGCAAATGAGGTATTAGTTATCCTACCCCTGGAGGTCCTCATGGCCAGTTCGTCTAGTTTATCTAATTTGTTGGTTGGTTTTAGTTTTATTGTGGTTATATATATATAAAATTTGTCATTTTACCATTTTTAAGTTTGCAATTAGTGACATTGCTTATATTAATTATTATATTCACCATGTTGTGCAACCATTCATCTAGTTTTTAAAACATATTTCATTATCAAATTAAGCCAACATTCTGAGTACCCAAGATCTGTACATTTTCTCCCTGTCCAAGGAGGGAGGGTGGTGCAAGTTGGAAAAAGGTGAGAGAGTATGAGAAGGAGGTAATTGAGGAGAATGGCTGTCATTCACTCCACCAGATCACAGGCTGTGCAGGGCTAAATTGGTGTGCAATGTAGTGAAATGGGGCATTAGCCACATTAAGAGATTGGAGAGGCCCAGCTGGGCTAAGCTCCACATTCTGCTCGGATTGGAAGCTCTACCCCCAGCAGTGATCTCACCCCGCACACACCCAGCACTGCTGAGGGGCCTCCAAGAAGGATGCCTGGCTCCCAGTCTGAGGGTGCTGTTAGAAAATAGCCCCCCTTGTATCGAGGCCTCTTCTGCCTTCTTCAGAATTTACACCCACCAGCTCCTTGGAAACCCTATGGGGCAGCTCTACTCTGTCCCATAGGGTCGCTGTGAGTCAGAATCCACTCGACAGCAACGGGTTTGGTTTGGTTTTTGATTGGTCTTCACCTTAAGGTTCCTGGGTGGCTCAAATGATTTGCCTTCGGCTCCTAACCAGAAGGTTGGCAATTCGAACCCACTCAGCAACACTGTGGAAGAAAGGTCTGGCGACCTACTTCCGTAAAGATTACAGCCAAAAAACCCTTATGGAGCAGTTCTACTCTGTAACACACGGGGCCACCATGAGTCGGAATCGACGCAACGGCAACGAGTATGGCTATTTTTGGGGTGGCGTGGTCTTCATTTAAGCAGTGGTTTTCTCTCCTCTTTCAGTATTTTAAGATGGCAGGCTTAGTCTACTCTCCTGTATCTCTTTTTTTAAGACTAAATCTTCCCTGCCCCCTCTTCATCTTTCTCACACATGATTTTCCAGATCCTGTCACTATCCTGGTTCCATCCTTTGGACCCATTTTGATTTATCCGTGCAGTCTCTAACTGAACTCCATACTTCAAATTAATATGGAATTCAGTCATAACATTATCACTCCTAAGATTACCTGAGGTTCCCCACCGCTCATGTGCCATTGGCTAGCATAAATTGATGCTCCACCTGGGTAGCCAGTGACAGGCTAATTCCAGGGCTGAAATGTAGTGTTACTATTTATGACTTTCCATTTCCTTCCTGCCCAGGGTATGCATCAATATCTTGGGAGGTCAGTATTCAGATCAAGCAGGCAACAGAGTCAGGGCTTGGAATTGGTCAAGTTCTGTCGCTTCCATGCCCTTCGTTTCATTCAAACCGGTCTTTTTGGCTTTGAACCATTACATTGGAGTTCGCATTTTAGAACAAGACAAAATTTCAATCACTTTTCTAGCAATGGGCCAACAGGCAAGAATCAGCGTCGGAACCAAAGTGAAGGTAGGTACATTTTTTTAAAATAGCTTAAAGCATTTAGAATAATCCGAGCACCGCAACTTTTCGTTGGTGTTATTACTGATAATTATACTTGTGCACACTCCACTATCCACTGAACATTCTGGAATTCAGTGGAAAAATGCATAGATGGACCTCATCCATCTCTTGTTTGAATTATTTCAGTGGTCTGCAAATGACTCTCCCTATTTCTGCTCTTCCCAAGCCCAGAAGCAGTCTATTCTAACACAATAGCTGGATTGATACTTTTAAAACCCACATCTGGTCAAAACTATCCAGTCACTTCTCATCGTATTCTGAGTGAAAGCCTCTAAAAGGCCTGCAATGCCACACATGGTCTGGACCTCCTTCTTTTAATAGTCTCCCTTTATTACTCTTTCCTCTCTCACTGTGTTGTCCACATGGCCTCTTAGGTGTTCCTGGAAAATACCAGGCATCTTCCTGCCACAAGCCCTTTACACTTGCTATTCCTTCCGCCTAAAACGCTCCTCCCCCATTTAGCACATGGCTGCTCCCTCACCTCCTTCAGGCTTCTGCTCAGAGGGTGCTTTCCTCACCATCCTGTCCAACAGTAACATCCGACTCCCACCTCCACCCTGCTACTCTGAGTGCCTCTTTGGCCATATATGACAAGTTATAAAATGTAGTACTCTTATTTTCTTTCCATTCTAAATGGCTCATGGCTTCCATTTTTAATTCTGCATCTCTGGAGTTACTTTTAATGTTCTCAAATGTAAAAAAAAAAAAAATGTTTTTACTATCCTTTTCTTGTTAATACCTAAATGATCAGAGAATATAGCCTTTGTTTCTTCCTGCTATCTGGAATATATAGATCTCTTTGTGGTTAATTACCAATTTTTGAGTGTTCCAGGGATATTTGACCAAAAAAAAAAAAAAAAAAAAGTCATCACAAAATTCTATATAATTGTTCTAGTCACACCTCCTTCTGTAGGCTTTTGTCTTTATATCATTGGTTTATTTCTGAGAAATGTATGCAAGTCTCCCAATATGATCATGGATTCATCCATTTTTCCTAGTATTTCTGTCAGTTTTTGCTTTATATATTTTGTAGCTCTGTCGTTAGGAAATGAAAGATGTTAACTCTCTTCCTGGTGTAGTTTTCCCTGGGCCAGCTCAGTCTTCCACCTCACTTGCTCTTCATCTGTGCCCACTATGTGATTCTGTGTATCAGGGAGAGTTTTTGCTTTTATTTTGATAATAAAAAATGTAATAGTATCAATATGTGTTATCTCGAATTTCACTTTTCATGACCTTGCCTTAAATGCTGTTCCGTCTGATGTTAAATTGCTACACCTGCTTTCTTTTTGTTAGTATTTGCTTGGTACATATTTTTCCCATACTTTGATTTTCAAGCTTTCTCTGTAGTTCTGAGTTAGATGTGTGTCTTAATTATCTAGTGCTGCTATAACAGAAATACCACAATTGGGTGGCTTTAACAAACAGAAATTTATTCTCTCACAGTTCAGGAGGCTAAAAGTCTGAATTCAGGGCGCCGGCTCTAGGGGAAGGCTTTCTGTCTCCGTTGGCTCTAGGGGAAGGTCCTTGTCTCCTTTAAGCTTCTTTTTCTTGGTGCCTTGGAGAGCTCACGTGGCGTGGCATCTATCTTCCCCCGTCTGTGCTTGCTTGTTTCCTTGCTTGCTCAACTGCTCTTTTTATATCTCAAGAGAGATTGACTTCAGACATACCCTATACTATTACTGCCTCATTAACATAACAAAGAAACCCCATTCCCAAATGGAATTATAACCACAGGTATAGGCGTTAGAATTTATAATATATATTTTGGGGGGACACAATTCAATCCATAACAGTGTACCTCTGGCAAACAGCATATAGCTAGCTTTTGTTTTTTAAAGCAAAAAGAAAGTTTTATTCGGCAGATATTCAAAAGGGCAGAAGTGGGAAGCGGACAAGCATGCTGCCAGAACCGTGTCTGCCGAGTCCAAAGAATATCACAGAACAGGCAAGAATCGGAAAACGCACAAGCGTGCTGCCACAGCCATGTCTGTCTGAGTCCCCACACTCTGTCTTTCAATACATTACACTTATGATTTAATGTTACTCTAAAGTTGTTAACATAAACTTTTTTTTTGCTGTATGCATAGAATTAACTTCCAAGTCCTCTAATTTTTTCTTTCTTTCTTCCTTTTTTTAACAATATTCTCTCAAATCCCTGACAGAATATTAATTACATACATTCTAAATTGTTCCTCTGTCTATTAATTCTGTTTCCTTGAGTACTAGTTCCCCTGATAGTAAGTCTAGTACCTCTCTTTCATGATGACAACTTTCCTCAAATGTGTGGCGATTCTCAGCTGCGTATTCATTTTTGTATGTGCTAATTCCTGTTCTCCTGCATGTTCTGCTCACACTTGCGGAGAAGAAGCGGTGTGTGCTGTTAAGGGTAGAAGACTGGCTCAGCGCCACACTTGCAGCCTCAGCCGGGAAGGGGGAAAGAACTGTTTCCCAATTGCTTCTCCTGCAGTTTCCGGTTAGCTGAATATTTACGTCCCGGCCCCCTCCTCCTTCTCATTTCTGTTGACTTTGATTGTGTGTGTTTTGGGTTAGGGGTTTCATCTGGTCATTTAGTTCTCCATGGATATGGACCCATCTGCTCTGTGATTTTCAGGAATTCCTAAAAATTATTTCTGTTGATGAAAACCTGTCTCATTTTCTACAACCATTATTGATTTAATCTCTTAAAAAGTTTTCTGTCATCTTATGAGATTTAGAGATCAAAGCGTTGTTAAGGATCTTGATCCATTCTTTGTTATTCATCCATCTCATCTTCCTTTCTTCCTTCCATCCTTGCTTCCTTTCTTTTGATGCGGAAGAAGAGGGGTGGGAACACACACAGAGATGCTGGACGGTCTTGTGTCTTTTGCAGGTAAGTGGTCAGTAGTTCCGCTTGCATTTAGCCTGCCCCACTGAGGCTAAATGGCCCCTCCTAGGCAGGCTCTAAGGAGCCCTGGTGCGCAGTGGTTAAAGCACTCAGCTGCTAAACAAAAGGTCAGCAGTTCAAACCCACCAGACACTCTGTGGCAGAAAGATGTGGCAGTCTGCTTCCGTGATTTACCGCCTCGGAAACCCTATGGGGCAGTTCTACTCTGTTCTGTAGGGTCTCTATGAGTCAGAATTGACTTGATGGCAGTGGGGTTTAGGATAGCTCTGAAGATGCAGGGCGTGGAAACACCTCAGGCAAGACTGTCCTGACAGACCCAGTCACCTTCCAGCAGCTGCAAGGAGGCTGCCTCAGCCTTGAATCACCAAAGACTGAGAAAGCGGGGAGGGCAGAGGCCTAGGAAGGTCAATTTGGAATGGCCTCCTGGAGGTAGGGGCGCACTTTAGGAGAAAGAAAGGGAGTTTGGGTCATTCTCCTTATTCTTGAAAACCCAGTTCAGGTGCTACCTTCTCTGGGGAACCACGACCCCTCGGTGACTTCCCCGCCTCCAGTCCAGCACTCACCACAAACCATTTGTTCATCTTTCTCCCAGGGAAGGGACTGTCCTCCCAGTTCCTCCCTGTCAGAATATGCCAGTTAAATTACTTAAATAAATTGTAGGCTTTCGAAGGTATCCAAATTCCATTTACCTTACTCAGCCTGGCCTGCTTTTAGTCTCTCAAGTCTCCACAGCCCTTCAGCTCATTCCTTATACAGGTTAAACTAATCGCACTGCCCTTGTCTGCAGTTAACTAGACTGGACCCTTCATAGGAGATTCATCTCCACAGTATTACCCCGCCTCAGGTCCTCCACCTCCCAGTTCTGCGGTCACCATCTCCACTACTGGACCCTCAGCTTTCCTTTTCTTTCTCTTTGCTGAAAAGCTACCAAACCCTGAGGAGATTCCAGTCCTCCGATACCTGAGTGGGGATGACCTTCTTCTGCTGGCCAGCTTAATAAAGATTCGACGCCTATTTCATAAACTAGAAGGATGTGTGAATTTTCCCTCAAGCCAAGTTTGGGGTAAACTAAAGCAACCCTCTTACCTTTCTTCACTGTCTCTAAAGCTAATTGCCCTCTGTCACAATTCCGGTATAAAGCAAGATACAATGGCAACAATAACAGGTATAATAAATGAGAAAATTTAACTAAGGGTGATGGTGCTTTCGTTTGTTTTTTGAGGGAGGTTTTTTTTGGTGGGGGAGGGTAGGAAGGTTTAAGAAAAGTGTACAAAATGCTTAGGAAATACCAAGAAACATGCCTTGTTATAAATTTAGAATTGAGAGCACATCCTCATTTGTCTTGGTGGGAAAACTAAACAACTTACTTACTGGACACCAGAGAATGAGCAAATCAGCAGAAGTGTCGGCATCAGTCTGGGTTCTAACGGAAATAAAGAAAGCAGGAAGGAATTAGATGTTTACCGAAACCGGAAACCTTTGGAAGGGCTGGGGAAGGGAAAGTCAGGGAAAATCCCTGCTGGCTTTCGGGAAATCAGAAAGTGAAGGAGTCTCAGGAAGGCAAGACGTCACCGCCAGTAATCTTAGAGGCCCACAGGACCAGCATGGGAGATTGGCAGGAGCTGTTCTGGAAATTGCCACAGCCTCACATCCTAGCGCAGAAATCGCAAGACACGGCCATCTGCCCAAACATCCACCCCCTCCTGCCAAAGATGAATGACAGCTTCTCATCCCTCCCACCTTTGAAACCGCAGGCCCGTGCCTCTAATAGGGAAATGTTAGCGGGTCCCGGCTGACAAAGGTTTATGAAAACTACATATTCCCCTGCCTCCAGTCCCTGTGTAAAGGGTGGGGGTTTGCGGGAGGGGGCTTCCGCACTGACAGCCCAGCACTGTATCCTCTGCTCAGTGCCAAGATTGCTTTAGGACACGTGACAGGGTACAAGGTTCACTTTAATAGAAAAGGACTTAAGAGTTGGATGTGGAGAACCCCAAAAGCAACCCTGGAGCCCGAACCTTCCCCAGACTTCTCAGTTCTCTGTTCTTTGGGAGAGAGAAAAACTTAGTTTCAGGGGTCATTCCTTACACCGAATTCCCAGTTTGGTGCAAATATGCCACTAGAGGGATTAAGTCATTCACAATTTACCGTGAATAACTTGCACCATTTTGTTTTTTTACTACTAGGAGCTAACTGACGAAGTGCAAAGAGGGAGTGAAGGGGAAAGAAGAGGAAGATTTGGGCAGCCCCGGGGAGACTGAGCGCTGGGCAGTAGGAAGTGACTGAGCTGGTGGGAGAAAGACCGCCTGGTTCCTGGTAGCAGTCTGTAGCCACCATGCTTTTGATGTGTTTAGTCAGCTTGCTTTTTTACAAACTTAACACTGAGGAGTCAATTTTATTATTTTTTCATTTCTACTCTTGCTAATCCCCATTACTATTTTTGTGAAAAAGAAATAGGTACCTAGACTTACATCTTAATCAGTGTTAAATGTCGCTCTCTCTTGCCTTTAGCCACTCTTCTTCATCTTCATTGATGAGTGATATTTACTTCCTATCAAATGAGATAAGAATATCAAATTATTTGAGCTAATATGTACAAGCAGAGTTCTAAAAGAGGAGCACATAATAGTACATCACAACAAAGCCTTAACTGATTCTAATTTGAAATCTGCTTTCATACATCATTCAAAACTATTTTTGGAGTGCTGAACCTACAGTGGACACTGAATACGGCCTTGATTAATTGGAGGTTGGCAAGATAATGGGACAAGATCCTTCACCATGTCGCTTCATTATTAATACCAGAATTTTAATTAGAGTTATCTGTATTCTAATCAGTAATAAACTACAACATGTGAAAAAGGGATTTATGTTGCTTCTATAAAAATTTATTAAAAATGAAAATGTTTCCAAGTGCAAAATACCAATATACATATTTTAGTGTCATAGTTCATATTTAGTGTCATATTTAAGGGACTGAGTTATTAATAAAAATTTCAATAATGATAAACCTTATTTTGAGGAATGAAGTATGCCATAGATTTTATTTTTTTATTGTGCCTTAGGCAAAGGTTTACAGAGCAAATTAGTTTCCCATTCAATAATTTATACACAAATTGTTCCGTGACATTGGTTGCAGTCCCCACAATGTGTCAGCACTCTCCCCGTTACTACTCTTGAGTTTCCCATTTCCATTCATGGTACCTCTCAGTGTCTTCCCTTGCCTTGGTCATGTTGTGCTGACTTCCCCCATATTGTGTATTGCCTTTCCCTTCACCAAAGTTAACATGTGTCTACTATCTAGTTAGTGATTTTTCCCTCTCCCCCTCTCGTCCCTTGTAACCATCAAAGAATGTTTCTTTCTGTGTGTAAACCTTTTCTTGACTTTTTATAATAGTGGTCTCATACAATATTTGTCCTTTTGTGAGTGACTTATTTCATTCAGCATAATATCATCTAGGTTCATCCATGTTGTGAGATGTTTCTCGGATTCATCATTAGTCTTTATCATTGCGTAGTATTCCATCGTGTATATATACCGCAGTTGTTTATCCATTCATCCGTTGATGGGCATTTTAGGTTGTTTCCATCTTTTTGCTATTGTGAACAATGCTGCAATGAACATGGGTGTGCATATGTCCATTCGTGTTATGGCTCTTACTTCTCTAGGATATATACCTAGGCGTGGGATTGCTGGATCATATGGTATTTCTATTTCTAGCTTTTTGAAGAAATGTGATATCATTTTCCATAGTGGTTGTACCATTTTACACTCTACCAGCAGTATATGAAAGTTTCAATCTCTCCACAACCTCACCAGCATTTGCTGTTTTCTGTTTTTTTGATCAGTGCCATTATTGCCAGGGTGAGATGGTATCCCATTGTAGTTTTGATTTGCATCTCTCTAACGGCTAATGATCACAAGATGTGCTTGTTAGCCACTTTAATGTCTTCTTTGGTGAAGTGTCTGTTCATATCTTTTGCCCATTTTTTAATTGGATTGTTTGTCTTTTTATTGTTGAAGTTTTCTATAAATTTTAGAGATTAGACCCTTGTCATATATGTTGTAGGCAAAAGTTTTTTCCTAGTGTAGGTTCTCTTTTTACTCTTTTGGTGAAGTCCTCTGATGAGCATAAGTGTTTAATTTTTAGGCCATCCCGGTTAACTAGTTTATCTTCTGCTGTTTGTGCATTGTTAGTTATATTTAGAATTCTGTTTATGCCATATATTAGGGCCCCTAACGTTGTCCTTATGTTTTCTTCCATGCTTTTTATAGTTTTAGGTTTTACATTTAGGTCTTTGATCCATTTTTAGTTAGTTTTTGTGTATGGTGTGAGGTATGGATCTTGTTTCATTGTTCTGCAAATGGATATCCAGTTTTGCCAGCAGCATTTGTTGAAGAGACAGTCTCTTCCCCATTTAGTGGACTTCAACCCTTTGTTGAAGATCAGCTGTCCACAGGTGGTTGGATTTACTTCTGGGTTCTTAGTTCTGTTCCATTGGTCTCTGTGTTTGTTACTTTACCAGTCCCAGGCTGTTTAGACTACCGTGGCTGTAGAGTAGTTTGTCATAGATTTTATATGTCAATATCTGCCTTTTCATGTGTGTGTTTTAGGTAATCTTAGGTTTGAATACTCCGTTAATTGGTGGGTTTTTCTCAGCCCCACAATATAAACCTCTTAAAAAAATAAAACACTTTAAATTTGTAGGTTTTCCCAGATGTAAATGTTGATGAAATTTTTGGTGTATTTAAAGTTTAACCAGTAGTACGAGCCCCTGGTACCCTTTCATTCCTGATGTCAGAATTTTGGCTTTTTATTTTACTTGTACATATTTTAGATTTTATCTGTGTTTCTGGATGGATAAAACAATTAACTTCTGAGAAAATATGCAAATATACATCAGTGTGACTGGAGGATAAAGGAAGCAAAACTTTCAAGGTAAATTTGATAGCATAGTGTTTGCTGCAGGGTTCCTCACAGCCGTGCAGGGATTGAGACATAAAAGCATAACTAGTTTATCAGCCTATGCAAATCTCCTGGGACATACCAGCAAAATATTTTAGACTTCATTTTGTTGATAGTTCTCTGGTAATAAAAGTAATACAAACACATAGTAGAAAATTTGAAGATTAAATAAAAGTATAAAGATTTTTAAAATCATTCATAATCCCACCACATCGTTGATAATGTGCCGTATTTCTTTCCTGTCCTTTTTCTGTTTGTGTGTGGGTGTGTTACTGAAGAAAAAATTTTTTTCAAACAGGAGAATTAATCAAAATACTTATTAGAAAGAAGGAACTATTTATATTCATTGCAAGTAAAAATTTTGAAACATAAGAAGAAAATGGAATTTCTACTCCCAAAAGAAAGTTGTAGAAAATTAAACACCATTCTAAAACCCAAAAACCTGTTGCCATCGAGTCAATTCTGATTCATAGTGACCCTGTAAGACAGAGTAGAACTGCCCCATAGGGTTTCCACCGCTGTAATCTTTATGGAATTTCTCCTGCAGAGTGGCTGGTGGGCTCCAACCGCTGACCTTTCAGTTAGAAGCTGAACACTTTAACCACTGTGCCACCAGGGCTCCTTAAACACCATTATAGAGTTGCAAAATAAGCCAAATAAATTAAATGCACATTATTTGTTAGTAAACTGGAAACAAATATCTTGTAAAACTGCTACGATTTTCATTTTCAATAGTAAATTTACTACCAGTTTATAAGAAAATAAATGAGTTAATGAATAAATAAAGCAAAACTTTTTTTTGTTGTTGTTGTTGTTGTTGTTGTTGTTGTTTTAATATTTTATTGTACTTCAGGTGAAGGCTTACAGAACAGATAGTTTCTCATGTAACAGTAACACACATGCTGTTTTATGACAT